CAAATGATTATGCAGCGTACAGGAGGTCGTGGAGTGGATATCGTATTAAATTCCTTAGCCGAAGAAAAATTGCAAGCATCTGTTCGTTGTTTAGCAAATGGTGGTCGTTTTCTGGAAATTGGAAAATTTGATATGATTTCAAATAATTCCTTAGATATGTCTATCTTTTCCAAAGGTATCAGTTTTCATGGTGTTTTATTAGATAAATTACATTTATCAAGTTTAGAACGAAAGATAACGCTGTCGAAAAAAATAGAAGAAGGTTTAGAAAATGGCGCTATTAAACCGCTGTGTAGAAAAGTCTTTAAAAGAAATGAAATAGAAGCTGCCTTTAGATATATGGCCTCTGGAAAACATATTGGTAAGGTAAGATTATTTCTTAATATACGTATACAGAGATATTTAATTACGATACAAAATAATTGTTTATGTCAAATTAGAAAGAAAGAGAGAGAGAGAGAGAGAGAGAGAGCGCGAGTGAGTGCGTGTTAATTTCTTCATCAATTAATATGTGAAAATAGAAAAAATTTTTTAATATTACAACCTTTATTCTTAAAACTATCTAAATATGAATGTCGACATTGGACATTTCTTTTATGTTGAATAAATTTTTTCTTCCTTTCATCGTTGACTCGAACTTTTACGTGATATTTTCTTTAGACATTTCAGATCATCTTATTCTTGCTTTCTAACATCAAATAAGCAAAAATTACAATTTATTTTATTCCAATGACTGAATAATTTGTGTCAAAATTAATTTAATTGTTTTAAATAATTTATAATTTTATAATATAAGAACTATATATGTGTTTTCTTACCATTGTCTTAACGTCTTGTGTGACTTTACATTCGTGTAATGTATTTTGGTGTTATTATGTTTTAATTTTTATTTAATTTAAAATGTGTCACTTATTATATTATTATCGTGCATTCACGGAAAATATTACGATAGACCAATTCAGTCATATTTAATTATTAAACTCATTCTCCCAAAGTAGTATGTTAAAAAGTGGTCGATTTTTACTCCTAAGCCGGCATGTAAAATATGCATGGTTTCTTATAATATTTTTGACCGTAGAATCACGTAGTGATATCTGTTTGCTACCAAAATGTGAGAAAAATGGATACAAACCCCAAAGATGAGCCACTTATGACCTTCACTTTTCTTTCCATATGCAGTATGACTCGTCACAAAATGCTTTGATAGCAAACGGCAATATAGAATCACTACGTGATTCTACGGCAAAAAAAATATTAGAAACCATGCATATGTTGGCTTACGGACAAAAATCGGCCACTTTTTAACTCCTTTCAATTTATACTCCTTTATACTTCTTTCAATTTAGTGAAGAAGACTCAGTAAAGTTTAAACATTTACTTTATACTTATTTTTATTATAAATAAAGTTTTGTATTAGTATGATACCTTGTATTTATTTTTATATTATTGGCCCATTATTCTCTCATATTGCTTTGCATAAAACAAGCCTAATATTTTA